TACACATGATTTGAAAGCAACAATGTGTCTTGACTTACTCATTTTTACAACACTGGGTGACTCCTTCATCCAGCCAGAATTCAACTACTTTACTGTCACATCCTCACTCAGCACCCTACAGCAAGATGTATCTGTACCCAGTACCCTCAGGGAAGCGGCTGGGGGAGGATGGGCATGAGATTCTCTTATCCCATCTGCTTTCATGCAACCAAAATCCCCTGTGGAAGAGCACAGATGGTCTATGGCAGATCTGCTCTCTCAAAAGGTAGCTTGCAGAGCAAACATTTGAGGACTTGGAAAGCTCTGCAGAAAGTGTTCCACAAGAAGGACACCATATTGAGATCTAAATAGCCAGAAGACTGATAGAAGAGCCTGGGTATAATGCTCTACCTCTTTTTCAAGAATCCCAGTCAGGTGTTTGGAGAGATGACTGGCAATTTTAGCAAGCACAAGAAACCCTTATTTCCATTAGGAGAAATTCATTCCAGCACTCCTAACTTTTCCATGCAATCCTATCCCCCTATACTGGATAAATTAGTCTATGTTATAGACAATGCACATTTTTCATTTATAAATTCAACTCTGATATTCCAAGAGCTACCTAAAAGGAAGCAATAACCTTGCCACATCAAACTTGTTTTCATACTTGCTTTCTTGTTTGTTCATCTCCCTCTTAGGCAGTCATACAGGCCGAGTCACTCAGCTCCCTGCTCCATGCCCTGTCCTTCGTCTCAGGCTGAAAGGAAAACCCTTGGGGCTGTTTGGCTCCACTCCCCGCAGTCCTGCCTTGTTATCCAACACTCCATACCGAGACCCACTGTTCAAACAGAGGGATATGTGAATCCCATTAGGTCTGACACCAGTTGCTACCTCTATCACCTTTCACTCTTAGGCATGAAAATCAACTACGGAAAAAAGCAGCTTTTTCAGCCCAGCTGTTTCTGCCAGGAAATACCACCAAACAAAGCACCCACCATTCAGATCTGAAAACAACAGGTTTATTCTGATATTAACAAAATCCCTGATATTAATAAAAATAGCTTCAAAGGATTTATGTTTAGGCCAAGACTGGAGCCACCAATCCATCCACTTTGTGCTCTTTTGGAACCTATTCAGTTTGATAGGAGGAGAACACATTAGTTCCTACTTAATTAAAAAGCTGTTAAATACCAATGCTTTGAGACTAGGGCACTTAACACAATCAATAACTGTAAGATAATTTACAAACGATGCAGTTAAGATCTAAGAAAAATTCACCTTCTGGTACCTGTTCCCTCTTGTCATAGGTCGTTTATAACCCACACACTCAGCTGTGAAAGATCCTGTATTAGCATAAACCTGAGCTACTATTTCTTTCTACAGCAGTTACTCTAGTCCAAGTTCTTGCTGATGCTTTCTCTAGAAGGATCAGAGAGGCTTTTTACCTCATTTTAAGCCTTTTCTAAAGTACCTTCTAAAGTGTTAAAACTCTCCCAAAAATGTGCAGTTGTTTGAAGTACCACTGCCTCGAACCTGCTCATCACTGTTCAGCTGCTGCAGTTCACCACTACAAGAAGTGGTAAAATCAGATATGTGAACTTATAACATGGTTATGTTATAACCAAAATTTCAAGTCCAGTCAGCAAACTGGATGGTATTTACCTTTGTGTGAAAGCAACAGGTGAAAAACACAGCCCTGTTAAGACAGTACCTTAGAAAGGTCACTAAGTTTTTCTTCTTATTGTGTCACTTCCTTCTGCAAATACTACTGTGAATTAGAGAGAAAGATTAACCTACATGGCAGCAGAAATACAATTATTTGCACAACTCAATTAGTCACAGAACAAAAAAAAAATCCATATCCATAATAGCTTACACTTAAAAGTGTAGGTTTTTTATCAAACACATGGGGAATTTGAGTAGTGATTATATAAATTGGTTAAAGCATGAAAAGTAAATTATGATGGCTCAGTGTTCCCTGCAGACCTACTTTAATTTTCAATGGTACCTAGAATATAATTTACCACATTAAGCCCCCAGTCCTTCTGATTCCAATACACTGGAATAATAATAAATTTTAGATTTATCTGCCCAAATCTGTTCATGACATAAAGATTTCTTTTCCCTACTCTTCTCGAATAGTAGCAGATTTTACATTTTAATTACTAACATTTAAACAGAAATGAAACTTAACAACTGATCATAGGATCACAATTTATTTTCACACCAGAAATCTCCAGACAAAGAAATCATGTGGACCAGCTGTCAATGCAAGGTTCATACTGATATTCAAATGTCTCTTGAATATCCGAAGTTTGTTGTGCCTACCTCAGGCAGCTGAAAATATATAGGTATTATATATGTGTGTATATATATATATAAAAATATGTGTAATATAGCCTTTAGGATGCCAGAGACAGAAAACTGCAGTAACACTACTGAAGAAAAGGCTCCTGCTTTGTAAGCAAAAGGGTTTGTTTGAAAGAGGCTTAAAATGATCAACACTGTCAGCCTGGCAGTAGCTAGCTGAAATGAAACATGTTAATATTTGACTGTTTCATATCAAGCATGCAAATACAGCAAGTTCCAGATAATATATGGACACCAGATACATATCTGATAGCTGCTCCATAACTTTCCAGGTTTAATATCCATCTTCTGTTACCCTACTCACCCTTACAAATGACTTTCCCAAAATCAGGCAAGTGCTAAGGTTGTGTATATTGCATTAAGAAAACAAAACAGCTTAGTGACTTTTATGACATCTTCAGAAGGCACCAAAACCAATCAAAAAGGCAAATCTTGGCTCGAGCAAGTGAACTGGTTTATATAATGATATGTTCAAACATCAGATGAGCACACAGTGTGTTGAGTGACAGCAAAGGGTCAGGTGAGCACTGGCCAACCTTCTAGCACTGTTTTGCTAAGCTTCTACCTTCACCCACCTGCTCTGCTCCTTCCTCAGAGCTGATGTTCATCTTAAAAACATGGCAAAACTGTGTTGTTCCTCAGACCCTTTCATGTGCCTCACCTTCACACTATGCCCCTTCTGCTACCTCTGCCACAGGAGAATGTAATCACTACCAAGTCAACTCAAAACGCCTGTGTCTCAAATTAGCATGGAGATGAGCCCAGCTCATGACTGACTGCCTGCACACCGCGAATTACGGCCATCCCTCTAGTGAGGCATGTGAAAAGCTTTCTGTCACCGGCTGTAACACTTTCTGCTGCTGTGACAGGACTCTTCACACTCACATAACTGGTCTGACCAGTCCTCCTCCTCCTCCTGTTTTACAGCTCACAATTAGTTTGACACCCTAACACAATTTCCCCATGCTGCTGCCCCAATCCTGCAGCTGAGGAGACAGCTGGCAGTGTTTCCCCACAAAGCAGTAACAAAGCAATGCGAGTGGAAACGCATCAATTCAAAACCAGGTGATGTGAGTAGCAGAGAATGAGGAACACAGCACAGCACAGCCAGGTTTGCTTCGCAGCAGTAATGTGCCCACGGGCTGCGTTTGCACAAGCAAAACAAAACATCTCCCTGGGTGTATACATCAGAATACAGAAAAACTAACCTGCAAAAACAAAACTTCGCCGTATTTTTTTTAAACAGAGACTTTTTCCTCATTAGAGATGTGTTCTTCAAAGACACACAGCATACAGAAATTTTCTCACTGTTCACAAAACTAAGTTAAAATCTGCATCTGCACATATGATCTCCAAGCCCTACTGTAATATTTAAAATGGACAAGTAGTCAAACAGCAGCCACAGGACACAGCAGCATTAAAGGCTAGTGCTGGCAAGGGTTACAACCATTCATCACACTACTTAAACTGAGATGTGCTTATCTGCTAAATTTCTGATAGCACAAGGGACTGCAATGAGAAGCAGGGAGCAGAGAGCCTGACAATACAATGGACAGCACACCAGCCTGTTAAGGCAGAAATGTCTCACAGATATGTAAGGGAACGAAAAGACTCACAAAGAGCAATTTTTCACTCAGTTTCTTTGTTACACAATAAAAACATCCTCTATTAACTGCTAACCAAACGATAAAAATAAGAACAAAGGTGACGTTGGTTTAACCTCTTCAAGGAACTATTTGACACAAGTATTGATTAGCTTGAGAGAACATCAAAAACCTCAACCCAAAGTCCTGCAACATGCCAGAAACGAGGAAAAAAATATTTCCTCTAGCTACCTACAGCAGCTGTCCAGAGAAGCTTATGCTTTAACAGTAAATTCTCAGACTCCATTCTCTGGCATGGAAAAAAACCATTTCTGTAACAGTCAAACCTCCTCTTTCCTTTGCTGAGAAGGCCACACACTCCTACTCCTACTCAGGAAGCTACTGACACCCTTATCCCTTGGCTGCTCATCCACTCTACCAGACGAAAATCCTTCCCCCTCCCATTCCAGTACTGCTAATTCCAGCCACTAGAAGGTAATTCATGTTGAAAGCAATTCCCTGTATGCCTTCTAGCGTCTGCACAGATCTAATTAGGAGCACAACCTTTCCCAGCTCTCGCCTGCTACTCCGTGAGCACAGGCATGCACTGAGGAGCTGGGGCACTTTAATTCAATATTGTGCCATTCCAAACTGCCTGTCTTTTCAATCTTCTTATTGAA